TTTGTCGTCGTTTTCTCGAGAAATCGTAGAAATGCTTCCCGCACCGGAAATGAAACCATGACGATTCCTCATCCCCCCCTCTTTATCCTTCACAAAATCGCATCTCACTCCACGGTTTCGTTGATTTCTTTTTTTTTTACTCAAGCGTTTCTATTCGTTTAGTATTTGTTTCACGTCCTTTCTAGCATTAAGTTTTAATCGAGACGGTAGGAGCGAAGTCGTTCTGATAAAACTGACATGAAATATCGATTATATAATGGCATTATTATTATTACTCAAAAGAGAAACGAGGACGAGGGAAAACATATTATATTGCGAAGCAAAATGAATGCAACGTAAAAAATTAATATTTTAATGTTTCGAAATAATCCGTTAAAAAAAAAAGAAATTAATGTATAATAAAATTTCGTAATGTTTACATGTCTGTGCACTTATAAGATAGATAAATTGAGATTTAGATTAGTTACAGATTTTATGATTAAATAGTTTTAATTTTCTTATCAATCTGTGTTTGACATGAGCGTGTCAAATAGACAATATATTGCAGAGCCACGGTTGGCATTGTAAAATCGTGCATGTAAACTGTATACGCATATTGAACACGTGCTCATTGGTACAAGTCCGAAAGAGAGGGTAAGAGGATGGCAAAAGCAGGACGGGAAACCGTGGATGGATATTGATTTGCCGTGGCGTCCAGAGGGGCAAAGAGTGTGATCAGTCGTGAAAGTCGATGAACCATGCAGGCCTGAACGGCGGAACGGCTTTTTATGGTTGGAACTTTCATAACTTGTCGTGTTACGTTTGGAACACGTTCGGAGAATGCTACGCCTATGCATGGGTCGGAAAGTTGAACGAATCATTCAGAAAGGGAGTTTTAGACTCTTCGTCAACTTGCGAATCCCGCCGTGTATTTCCCTCATAAACTTCGATTTTATTCCACGTTTCACCAACATTTTATTTTCAATCTATTTTCAAACTAAATAACAATCATTTTCCCCATGACGATAAGAAAATAAAAATAACTGTTTACAAGTATGGACTAGAACTCCAAAAAAAGTCTCGCCAGTTTTAGATTTATGACGACCATCGTCGATATATTTATGCAATCCCTCCCGTTGCGACATGAATATTCCGCAGAAAGTTTTGCGTATCAATCGCACACCGTTCCATTTTTATCCGAGCCGCTATTCCTTCGCGACTCTCTTTTTACGCGAAAAGATACACCGATATACGCATATACTTCCAGAGAATCAATATAATAGAAGCGATACACTGTTATTCCGAGTATTGACAGGTTTGCCGCGACGTGGCATCGATAAATCGCGTCGCGGCATCAGAAGCACCAGAAGATGCTGAAGGAAGAAACAGCGAGGAGTGGATCGGCAAGCACGGGGATTTCTCAAGAAAATTGCGGCGAATGCCCGACAATAGCGGGGAAAAGAAAAGAGAGACGATATTCGGGGAAAAAGGTCAGCGATTTACGGGCATCCATCGACGTCGAGGGTTGCGGCAGCGAGAGGAATCCTGCTGCACACAGTACTCTGACCGAGGGGTCGTTCCTGTACGTATCGCAGCTATGCGGAATTCTAGTCCCCGGTGACTCCTTCGTATTTGCCCCTTTCCCCGCTTCTCCGCCCCAATGCCCGTTCTTCTTCTTCTTCTTTCTGACTCTGGCCTCCATTCTGACAACGGCAGTGAAATTCATCGCGATCGTTCACCAAGAAATATCAAGACGCTCTTTCCCTTCCCCCTCCCC